ATGGGTGGAGAAAAAGAATTAAATATTCAAATAAGACAATGAACTATATTGCTAGCATGTGCATAGGTTTGTGACTTGCCTCATGTGTAGCAAGATTTGTCCCCTTTTCAATCATATTCATTGAAAGAAATGTTTATCTTGCTACTAAGAACATACAGAACCTACAATGATCCAGTCACCTGGCTGAAACATGCTAGTTGTTGGCCTTTTTATGTGTTTAAGCTTGCATCAGATTGCTCCCTGCTGTAATACTGGTTTACCTTTTGTAAAGATGGCCCCTTTTTAGATCAGGAAAGACTTCTTCTGTTAACTCTCCTGATTTTATATATTACAACTGAGAAACAAATTAGGTTGGGAGCTTTCATTTGTCTGCATTATATTTCTCAACTACAGGAAAAGGCAAGTGAAGACACAGGAACTGCTGTTGCTATTGTGATGTCAATGATGACAACTACTACCACTGTTGCTACACATTAGCATGAAATCATTTCTTACTTTGCTCTGTGTCTCAAAAGGATCACTTTAAAATAAAGTAATTGGGATACTGTTTCTAGACAAATGGTGGATGTGCTGCTAGAACATGCCAAAGATGGATGCAGTGCATCATTCAGCAGAATCCAGTAAGATGTATCTGGACAGCTGTCACTGAAATATTGATTGATTGCTTCCCTTTCTTCATCTTATCAGATTTCATGACAGTGTATAGCCTATTAAAATATACAAAGAAGGGCAACCACAATGAGAAGCATGACCATCAACAACAGAAACAAACTATTTATCTAGGCCACCCGAGGTCCACTGAGGCTTTGCAGGACTGAGTGTAGCTACAGCATCTCTGACAAATGACTGTTTATCATAAGGCTTGGCTTCCATATCCTTCACCATCCTTGGTTGTTCTTTTTCAGAAATGATCCAACTTGTGAATGGCGTTCTTAAAACTGAATGCTCAGAACTGGAAACAACACTTCAAATGTGACTCATATTCAGATTGTGAGTCACTAAGATTTTCAAATTTACTGCTGCCAATCTAGATATTCCCCATTACGTGTGTGCCTGATTATTTTGTCCCCAAATGCCAGATTTTATTTTTATCTGTTAGCCCAGTGTTCCATCCTCTCTAGAGCTTTTTTAATCTTGATCTTATTTCCTATGGTTTTGGCTATTCCTCCTAGGTTTGCATCATCTGCAGATTTAACTCTGTATAACCTCATCCAAGTCAAGTATTAGATCATTGAATAGCAAAGTGTCATGAGGAGGATTCCTCCCTATATACATTCAAAGCCATAGACCTTTCTTGCCAAACATTATTTATTAACCAAAGCATTTTCCAGAAAGTTAAACACTCAGAATGAATCTCTGAGCAGGCAAAGAGTGGTTCATTGAACCCGATCTAGTATTTCCCTCTAAGAACTTCCCTTATGAGCATGGCTGGGTCCTACCTCCTTGAGAGGGTCTGTCTGAAAATGAGCATGCCTCTTTTTTGTATGGTGAGCCTCAAATTGGACCATCCTCTTCTGTCAGCATCATGCTATGTGGTTGAGAACCATGCCCTTTTTGTCTGTCTTTGAGATGCTCCCTTGTTCCAAGTCCTCCACCCCTAACTGCACACCTTGACAGTCTGGCCTTGGGATAATCAGTTTTGTTTCTCTCAATGTCTGGAACCAGCCCACATATCTTCTCTTTATCCTTCTCCTCTGATGTCCATCCAGCTGCCCTTGAAAATGTGTGCCAAGAGCAGCTATGTTTCTCACTCCCAACATGCAGGGCCTAGGGCAGAGCCATACAGCACTCTACTGAAGACCTTCCTGCAGGAGGGCATTAGTTAGCATCCCCTGATTACAATTCCTCAATCAGCTGTGGAAACATCTAATGGTAGTATTGCCCAATCCCCACTTTGGCATTGGGCCAACAGAGTTATCATGGGAAGCCATGACAACTGCTTTGCTGAAATAAAGTTATGCCATGCTCACAGAGTCCCCATTTCTGAAGCTGTCTTGATCTACCATTTCCACCCTCCTGAAGACATGCAGAACATTCTCTTGTCTTCTGGCTTCTGGCCGGTTATCTGTTCTTCAGGGACTCTCACAGATTATTGGCAGTGGCTCTGATATCATGACTGCAATCTCTGTTAGCAGCTGTGGATTTCATTCATCTGGCTATTGCAACCTGAAGTCATTTAAAAAGTAACTAAGTGCTTTTTAATCATGATCTTACACATTTTTAATCCATACTTTATGCATTTTATGCACATTTTGAAATAAACACATTTCACCCAAGTATTTCAGTTAACTGACATGCAATTTTGGGTACTCTTTCCCCTATTATGCACATTTCATACACATCCTGCCTCCACTCTACCCCTGCTGCACTGGAAAACTGATAGAAACAATGGATGAAGCTCTGGCTTAACTTGCTGCAAGTATGGGAGGTGCCAATTGGATTTACTATCATTTAAATAAAAATGACTCAATGGAGCAAATTTCTCACCTACTAATGAAATCTTGAATCTTTTAATGACTGTGAAATTGGATCTGAATGTAAAAAGAACAAGTGTAATGTGAGCATCCTGCTGCTTGGTCAGATAGGATTTTGAAGCACAGACGTGACAAACATACCTTTAGGACCGTGAATCTTTTGTAGACCTTTTTTTGCCCAGAATTCAGAGAATGCACCCAACAATCTAAATATCCCACTGTAGGAAAGAGCAAATGCTGTGTTCCCCTGTAGTTTGTATAAACTCTATAGCCATGAGCACAAAGTGTCAGCATGTTCATCACAACAGAATTTGACCTGGTCCTGAATGGTGCAACACTCCCTCTTAGGGATAAGGTCCGCAGCTTAGGAGTACTCCTCGACCCGGAGCTTTCTTTGGAAGCTCAGGTGACAGCGGTGGCGAGGAACGCCTTCCTTCAGCTTCGGCTGATTAATCAGCTGCGCCCCTACCTGGAGTACGACTGCCTGGCGACAGTGACACACGCGCTGGTGACTTCCCGCCTAGACTTCTGTAACGCGCTTTACGTGGGGCTTCCCCTGAAGACAGTCCGAACACTTCAATTAGTGCAAAATAGAGCTGCCAGGTTGCTGACGGGGATGGGGCGTTATGCTCACATGACTCCAGTCCTCCGTCAGCTCCACTGGCTTCCCATTGAAGCCCGGGCCCAATTCAAGGTGTTGATTATGACCTACAAAGCCCTAAACAGCTTGGGTCCTGGCTACCTGAACGAGCGCTTACGTCCGTATATGCCCGACCGCCCTTTGAGATCTGCGGGAGAGTCCCTTCTCCGGGAACCCTCCATGAAAGAAATTAGGAGAGTAAGTACCCGGAGGAGGGCTTTCTCTGCGGTGGCGCCCAACCTATGGAATTCACTCCCCAAAGAGGTCCGCCTGGCACCGTCGTTACTGGTTTTTCGGCGCCAGGTAAAGACCTTTTTATTTAAACATCATTTCAATTGTTAAAACATATGATCTGGCCTGGGCAACTTCTTCTTCCTTCTCTTTCTCCTCCTATATTTTTATTTTATACTGATAATTTTAATTTTGTATTTGTAAATCAATGTATTTTTTGTATTGTTATATTTAATGGTAATTTATTATGTACTATTGTATTTCAATGTATTTTATCATGTTGTAAGCCGCCCCGAGGTTTCGGCAAGGGGCGGCATAGAAATGCTATAATAATAATAATAATAATAATAATAATAATAATAATAATAATAATAATAACAACAGAATTCATTAGGGCCTTATTATAATAATTGAAGTGTTAATCTCATCCAAGGACAGTATTTCTAATATAATTTCCAACAACTTAATGTATTACCTTTACTGTTATTTATGCTGAAGTGGGACATAACAGGAAGTGGGGACATACTATGTAGATTGTTATTGTTGTTCGTTGTTGTCTGCTTTATTGTGAAGATGTTGGTTGTGCTAAGTTGAAAGCATGCATGGCATCACAATGAGAGTTAGGAGACAAGATTTTAGAAAGTCCCACCCATTCCCTTTATCCAACTTTTATCATGAGGCTTTCCAGCTCCAGAGATGGTAGAGCTGGCAATACAGTACTGATTGCTGACACTGATGTGCACAGGTGATTGCTATCTGATGCATGAGTTCTAACTCCAGAAATTTGGGGACCTGTGAACATGATGCCTTATTGTGCTCCTCTCTCCTGGAAGAGGAAGAAAGTGAAAATTGACAATTCACTTACTATAAAAATGTTTATATTTTTTAATTTAAGATTATAATTATTTTAATTTATTGTTGTAAGCCGCCCTGAGGCTTCGACGAATGGGGCGCCATAAAAATGTTTTAATAAATAATAAATAAATAAATCTGATCTGTTGTCTTGGGAACCTGAGAATGTCTAATCTGGCCATGCTCTAGAACTGGCCTTGCATAAGAGAAGTCCTCCATGAGCTATGACAAAGTGGGAAAAATCCTATGGCCTCTTAACACTTTCTTTGAGAGAAGAAAATATCAGAGCCTACTAAGCCTATATTTGTTGTGAAGATGAAATGGGAAGAGCAGGAAGATTACGTAAGCCATCTTGGGTTACTTGTAGTGGATTAGGATATAGAGGTAGGAGATATACATACATACATACAAACATACATACATATCTTGATAGATGGGTAGATAGAGAGAGAGGGGGAGGGAGAGAGGGAGAGAGAGAGGGATAATAGATATAGAATATAGAATAAATATATAAATACATTATATATTGTACATAGTATAAATTAATATTTCAGTACTTGGCTTTCCTTCCTTGGAATTTAGAAATGAATGAGTCATTTTAATCTGAATAATTTTATCTTAGAAATCAACTTTTTTAATAAATTCTTTTTGTTTATGCATGTCAGGCTTTGCAATAGTGATCTAGAACTTGGCTGAGGGGGGTGATAGAGAATAAGCACTCTAGCAACGATACACAAGCTACTAAAATGTATATATTATTGAGACTTACATATACGGGAATACATCATAAACATGCCAAACTACAAGTAAGAATGAAATGACCAAACTGGCTTCAGTAAAACAAGAAAAAACAAAGCCACTGTAAACATTCTGAGATGAAAATATGCAGCAAACTGTCTTTTTTTGAGTGAATAGGGGAGCTTGTTTGCCTTCTAAAGTGATGCATTTTACAATCATTCCAATCTTGTAAAGGTGATCAGTTTGCACAGACATTTCCTTAAAGCCATATTTACTTCTTTATTTCTTAGGGTGTAGATGAGGGGATTAAACAGGGGAGTCAGAACAGTGTAGAAAAGGGAGAAGATTTTGTTCCAATTCTTTGAAGACTCACTGCGAGGAACCAAATAGACAGCAAGGAGACTGGCATAAAATACAGTAACAACTATTAGGTGGGAGGAACAAGTAGAAAATGCTTTTTGTTTCCCCATAGTAGTTGGGATCTTCAGGATGGTGATGATGATACAGACATAGGAAGTTAAGGTTAAAACAATTGGGAATATAGATATAATACAACACACCACCAGAAGTGCTATCTCTACAAGGCTTGTGTCACTACAAGAGAGACTTACCAAGGGTGAAAAATCACAAAAGAAATGATTGATTCCATTGGATTTGCAAAAGGTTAAATTGAATGTTAATATAATGACCACAGTACTTCCAAGCAGCCCACATGCCCAGGAACATGTAACCAGCTGAATGGAAATTCTTGCATTCATGAGAACAGGGTAATGCAGTGGTTTGCATATTGCTATGTAGCGATCATAAGACATCACAGCTAATAGATAGCACTCTGTGGCCACCAATGTGCCAAAGCTATACAGCTGAACCATGCATCCTACAATTGAAATGGCTTGGTATCCGGTCAGAAAACTGGCCAACATCCGGGGCATAATGGTTGAGGTATAACAGATTTCCAGGAATGACAGGTTTCCTAGGAAGAAGTACATGGGTGTTTGGAGGTGCGGAACAGCTGCAAGCAGCACAATAATTAGGAGGTTTCCAGTCATTGTCACAATGTAGATGAATAGGAACACTATGAAGAGGAGAGTCTGAATTTGTGGGAGATCACCAAATCCCAGGAGGATGAAGAATGTGACAACTGTTTGGTTTTTCCATTGTGTGTTCAGCATAGATTGCACCTGGGGGAGAAACACAAGCGATATGAAAATATTCCTTCTCCTCTTGAATAGAAAGATTTGACCAAGGACTCATTGGGGTAAATTAAATAGCATAATAATCCATTATGGATTGATTGCACCTTGAGAGGTTGTGGTTTATGCTTGCTCTCCAACTGTTTGTACATGCAGCTCCCAGTTGGTAGTCATACCATCTGTGACTGCATGACCAGGGCAATCTGAAAGAATGAACATATTTTTAAGAGCAATGAAATGATGTATAGGTGGGACAGAAATTGACAGATTCATCCATTCATAATAGGAGGAAATGCTAGAAAGCCTAGGAAGGGGACTTCTCTGATAATAATCATTAAACCCACTGACAATATTCAGTAATAGATTTAACACCATGCTTTGATTGGATGTATATACATTGCTGACTTAAATAATTTCTATAATTTTTTTATAATTTCATATAAAGAGGAGACCCATTCTATAGTTGTCTTAAATTCCAGTAATTTCAATTGGTCTTCTCTAAGAATGGCTTGGTTCAGATTCAGCTAATGAAGTCCAGCTAAAACCACTTCTGGGTATGTCCTGTGAAGGAATATTTGGTACTATAGAAACAGAGTTTGGTTCCATAGAAGTGTGATGGTGAGTAGAGGGTTCATGATACCAGTGATCATGAAACCTGTGCTAGTTCATCTTGGCACTTTAGATAAATTCTATGCTGGTGTCCTTTTTATATCATCGTTATACAGATATTTTAATCATTTAATTGTTGTAATAGGTTTTAACATGTTGTTACTTATACTTATGTTTAATATGTTATTTTAATATGTGGTTGTAAACTGCCTAGGAAACCTTTGGCAGTTATAGGTGTCATTTAAATATGCATGCAAATAAATAAACAAAATGTGAGAAATAATGTATGGTCTTTTTCAGGTTATTTGCTTTCTGTTTTCTCCTTAACCTCTACACATAGTTTGAAAAAAATACATTACCAGTGTGTCTGAGATCTCGAAAGCTTGAATGCTGGTTGTTAGCTTCCCACAAGATTCCTGACATCTTTTAAAGTAGATTTTCAATAAATAGATTGCAATGTTTTCAAGTGCTTGTCCCTTTGCAAACATTATTTAACTTCTTTCATGACTAGGGAGGCAAATCCCTATGGATATGACACTTGATGCATGTAGACTGTTCTGTATTTGAATAAATGGATGTAACACCGGTCCTTTGGTCTCAGTGGAAAAGTAGGAAGACATTTCCCTCTGTTCCCAAGGTGAATTAGAGGATCTAACAATTCCTAGATATAATTATTCTCACTGAGATGTCTTTTTATTCCATACTTCAGATCTGTATGATAATAAAACCTTCATGTTTATGTTCAGTCCTCTTCTTAGTAATTCTTGAGTACACATGCTGAGATTTTATAATTTCAGTGAACTATCCATTATAGCACCAAGATCTGTCTGTCTGTCTGTCTCTATCCATCTATGCATCTATTCCTTGTATACTATTGCAGGTTCAGAATCTTTCCTATCCCCAGAATGAATTTGTACTTAGGTTCAGCACAAACATTTCTCAACTTCTTTGGCAGTATGTTGAACACAGTAGTACACTTTCTGCATTATTAATCTTTCTCTGTTCATTCTCGGATACTACCAAGTGAGTCTGTTGTAGGGCAAAGAGACAGGCACAAACTAGAACAATGAGAAGGTGCTGTTTGCTTCTGTATTTGTTCATTTGTTTTTAACCCTTCAAAAGTTGACATTGATGTTTTGAGATCATTGCATTTATCATCGGTATCTCTAGAACTTGTAACTATATTCATGCAGAAATCACATTAAATAGGGATCCCCCTTCATCCCTCGCTTCCTTCCCTCTTGTAGAAAAATTACCTTTATTCCATGAATATGGCAATGATTATTGGGGCACAGCAAGAACAGAACAAAAAACAGACAAAAACATCAGAAATGCTGACCCTGCTACATAACCTTTCCATTGCCATGAGGTCAGATGACAATGATGAATGATGAATAGGGTGAATGATATTCCAGATCTGTGGTGGTATGATGGTTAAGAATGCTGGACTAGAATTCTGGAGATATAAATGGACCATTTTAGTATGAAAGAAGTAGATTCATTTTGAACATTTGAAGTGATCATGAAATTCAACCTTTATTTCTTACAAAAAAGCATACATTACAAATTGCATCTAGCTATACAGGAAAATGTTCCATTAATGTTGGGCACAGATTCACTGAAATCTTAACCTGGAAAATGTTATCTATTAGACAGCATCCTCTGTGTGTGTGTGTGTGTGTCACATTTTGAATGCTGTTTTGAGGAAGTAAAAAATGCTGTTCCTGTATAGCTTCTGAATTTGAACAAATACAAATAAAGCATGTCTTCTCAAGGCATCCTTCACCTCTTTATTTCTCAGACTGTACATGATGGGGTTGACCATGGGGGTCAGGATGGTATAGAAAATGGAGAAGATTTTGCGAAGGCCATTCAGACTATTGTTACCTGGTATTACATATACGCTAATCAGTGTACCATAAAAAAACGTAACTACCAAGAGATGGGAAGAACAAGTGGAAAATGCCTTTTGCTTCCCTGTGGTGGATGGGATTCTCATTATGGCTGCAATGATGAAAATGTATGATGTTAAGGTCAATGTAAATGGAGCGAATGTGATTACAGAGGATGCAACATATAGAAACAGTTTTAATATATAGGTGTCACTGCAAGAGAGTTCTATGATTGGAAAAGTGTCACAAAAGTAATGGTCAATTTCTTTGTGAACACAGTATTGTAACATGGAGATGGCAATCATTGCCAAACTATTTGCCAGGACACCACTAAAGCAAGAGATGGCTATCAGTTGGAAACACAGCCTGTCATTCATCTTGGTCACATAATGTAGTGGCTTGCATATAGCTAAGTACCGGTCATAGGACATTACAGATAAGAGGTAACATTCTGCAACTCCTATAGAACCAAAGATAACATTTTGCAGGAAGCATGCATTGACAGAAATGGTCTTCCTTCCACTTAGAAAATTGGATAACATTCTTGGCAAGATGTTTGAGCTGCTGCAGGTCTCCAAGCATGCAAGACTTCCAAGAAAAAAATACATAGGTGTGTGAAGCTGCTGATCCGTGAAGACTAGCAGAATAATGAGAATGTTCCCAGCCATTGTCACAATGTAGATGAGGAGAAACAGCAGGAAAAGAGGAATCTTCAGCAACTGATGCTCTCCAAACCCCAGTAAAATGAACTCAGTTATGTGTGTTTGATTTTTTAATCCTATCTTTTCAAATAACTGCAAAACAACAACAAAGGTATGGAAAATGGTGATGGTTTGTTCAACTTTGTTCCATAAACAGAGGTCTAGAACAGGAGAATTAAACAGAGTTGTACATTGGTGGCTCATTCATTCATTTTGCATCCTCATATTTTCAGAGTGTCTTTGCATATCCTTACTTTTATAAATTGAAAACATAAATCTGATATTTTGTATATATCTACATACTGGTTATTTTGACCATATTTAAGCACTTCCAAATGAAGACCCTAGCTCTCTCTTTTACTCTGATAATGGATTCTATTTGGACATAGTATTACTTCAAGTAGATTCTTTTATTTGTCTTAACTTCATATTACTCACCACTCCAGAATTTGTTTGGATGTAGATCAGTATAAAAATAATCAGCATTCAGCAATAATTCTAAAATATGAATACATCTTGTCTTACCCAATGGATCTACTCAGAAATAAGTAGTATGTACATATAATAAAATCTACTTTTTAGAAAAGGGATATCTCTTTGTGGTTCTCCTCAAACATAGCCCTGGAACACAAGGAACACATTTTCTCATGATGACTGATTACACGACTGCATTATATATCTGAATGATGTAATGTAATAATACCTATGAAGGTGGAGCCAACTTCATGGGTTTTCTCATGAAATGAGTGCTGTGTCCATTGGAAAAACCTACATCAGCAGATGCACCCACATTTTGTGTTGTTCATAGACAGGGCAGAACTGAATGGAGCATTTATGCCAACACTGATTCTCTTTCACCCTACTGAATACTTGCTGCAGGTGATGAGCCCTACTGACTCTGTTGTACAAGCAAAATGTGTTGTTCATGCAAGAGAGATTGGGCGCTTCCTAAGAGAAGCCCCCAAATGAGTGGAGATGCTTGTTTTTGAAGAGACCAGGCAGCAGAACTCTCTTACGTATGCAAGTTCCACTGACTGGTGTCCTAAAAATGAGCAATGGACATGGTAAATTGGAGGGGGACATGTGTCAGCAAAATTACTGGATCATAAAAGAATCAGCAGAGGTGTAATAAACACTTGCCCATAGTCCCTAACATTATGATATTTTATCATGGGGAATATATGAGGCAAGCAACTATTAAATTTACCCGTGGATCAGAAATCGAATAATGTAGTAGTTGATGTCACAATACAAGTGTGCTTCCTCTAAAGATGTTTGGGAATAAAAGCACAATCATATTTCATTGAGAGGAAATTATTTTTCTTTCAGAGTTCTTTTATGTCAAGTAGAGTAAATCTTATAAAAAATTAAAGTACTGATTTTGTTAAAGTTAAGGACATGTGAAGAAAGTTAAGTCAAAAAAATTTATTTTTTATTAAATGCTTCTTAAAAGTTAAGAAAGAAGAAGGAAAGAAGGAAGCTGATCAGAACATGACATTTTCTCTTCCATCTTCAATATTATCTTTGGATCCCCTACACCAAGATGGTGAAGGGAATCAAAATGAAATTGAAATCTTATTTTGCTTGGGGAATGGGGCAAAGTGAGTATGTGGCAGGGGAGATGCCCAGGCAATGAAAAGAGGTCACCAAAAAATCTAAGGATAAATAAATAAACAGAAGAATCTAAGTTACACAAGATATAAAAGGGTAAATATTTGGGACCTGCCCCCCCCCCCTTTAGGGAATGGGTTGACCAATCCTTTATTCAACAAATCTTTTGCTCGACTGATTTGAAACTCTTCCAGTTCTTTGCTCTTAGAATTTCAGTATTGGTCAGCATTTCTTCAGAGCTTGACATACCTAATTACTGTTCCCACTAGTAGCACACTGAGTCCATCATGCTTGCACACATATAATTCTAGGCCACAGTACGTGGAATGTGTGAACATGACAATGAGCAATAACCACATACCTTTAATAGGGAAGTCATTCTTCTTTTCTCCAAAATGAAAATGGTTGCTGCAGCAAAGAGGATGCAATCTCATCAATTCTTCAATGGTGAAAATTCAGTATTTTCACCAAGCTACCATTTCTTCACAAGTTCACAAGTTTACCACTGATATTATACTATTACTTTTTCTTGCATGATATGATTAACATCTCAAACTGCTGCTGCTTCTATTTCTGTAATTTAATACCAAGCAGAAAAACACTTCTAATATAGAAGTTGGACAAGTGAAGAAGCTCATGACACCATGCTAATTACAATACCCTAAGTGGGCATCATGATTTATATCTACCACTTTCTTCACTAGATACTGCAAATAAAATAAACCTATTGCATTTGAAAGTATCATTTTGTTATGAGCTGTCTTTTATATATAATAATAAGTTTAATTTCATTGGCATTGTGACAGGTAGAATTTCCCACTCAGTCCCTACACCATGCATATTGCATGAAAAGGAGACATTTACATCATGCAAAGGTAATGAACTTAACCTTAATCCTGACAACATGAAGATGCCTTGGGCAGGTGGTATCTGGGTGCAGGAGATTGGTGTATTATCTATTCTGGATGGGGTTGCACTGAAGAAAAATGGAGGTAATCCTTGATCCATCTCTATCACTCGAGGCCCAGGTTCCTTCTATGAGATTTGGTTAGTACTCCAACTAGGTTTCTCCTGTAAGAAGGATTCAGGGAAGATGCTCTCTGTGGGGATGCCATGAAGACCAACCTAGAAGATGCAGCTATCACAGAAGGCAGCAGCTTTCCTGTTGTCTGGGGCTAGTCCCTTTCAGCACATAACACTTCAGATGAAGGAATTATACTGGCTGCCAGTTTCCTACTGGGACAAGTTTAACATTTAAGGCACATCATGACCTTAAAACCCAGATCGGAGATACCAGGGAGTTTGCCTTCTCTGCTATCTGCTTGCCTATTCACTGTATTTATCAGGCGAGTTGCTCCTGGTGATTCCCTATGGGCCTGAGATTTGTTTAGAGTCTAAACCTTCCATAATAGTAGAAGGTTTATTGTACTGGTTCCCTCTCTGGGGGTGGTTCTCTGCCAGTTGTTGTTGGGCAGAGTCAAACCAATGTTGCTTTGTTTCTCACCTCTGCTAGAGACACTTGGACAGCTATTATGTTTCAATAGATATAGCTCCATCCATTTCCCTCTGGGTGACTTTAGGTCTGTCATTGACTCTCAACTTGATCTTCCTTGCAGGATTGCTATGAAGGACAAACTGGAGAGGAGGAGGAGGAATATATGAGTGGGATACAAACAAACAAACAAACAAACAAATAAATGCCTGCATTGCTTTCAGAGAAGTCTCCATGATTATGCAATAGGACTGGTGTTATGTGAGCATACTTACTGGTCTCTGTCAAAAGCCTGGCTGCTTTGTTCTGGACCAACTGAAGAATATGGATCATCTTCAAGGGCAGCCCCATGTAGAGTGCATTACAATAACAATCCAAGCTTAGAACTTATCAAGTATAAGAATGAAACATATTATTTATTTAGCAAATATAACATACAGAAATGTAATGCAGTATTAATGTTTTCACCCAATAAACTGACCCAGCAAATGTATTTTAGTCTTCAACACTAGCCTATTACCAATGCTATTAAATAGCACTGGCCTATTACCATTACTGCAGCTATCACTACTACTTGAAGTTAGATACAGGCGTCTACTTTCCATGAACAGTGCTCCAGTCATGGACAATGCTTCTGTCCAGTTCCAAGAGATCTCCCCACACCACATGCACATGTCACATCTCATCTGATTCAGGGCAGTCCAAATATGCCAGCCCCACTGCATGCATCTAAATCTGGATTTAACCCCTGAACCCCTGAACAAACATAAAATCTTGTCCCCACTAACTCCTCCAACTGATCTTCTCAGTTCAGCATTCAGCCAGGAAACAATGTTCTTATTAAAACAAAACAGTACTGTTAATGAATAAGTTTATTTGTGAATATGAAACAGAATTCAAAATGTTAAAATTTTACCTTATTTTACACAAATTTTGCATAAATACCTATCCAAAATATCTATGCACACATCAAAATATAATTTATCTTCACAGATGAAAGCATATATTTCTACAGAAGTAACAGAGTAATTTGCATTTTTACCTGTTAAATTATGAAAACTACTCCATGAACACATGTAAGCAATTATGAGAGAGCAAAGCATTTAGCTCTATTCTTTTCATTTCTGAATGATCAGATAAGAGGTAAGTCTTCTCAAGGATTTTTTCACCTCTGTATTTCTCAGACTATATATAATGGGGTTGACCATGGGGGTCAGGATGGTATAGAAGATAGAGAAGACTTTGTGAAGGCCATTCAGTTTATTGGTATTTGGTACCACATAAACACTCGTAAGTGTGCCATAAAAAATTGTAACTACCAATAGATGAGAGGAACATGTGGAAAATGCCTTTTGCTTCCCTATACTGGAAGGGATTTTCATTATGGCTAGAATGATCAAAAAGTATGATGTTATGGTCAATATAGATGGTGGAAAGGTGAATATAGAACATAAAACATATAGGAAGAGTTTTAATGCGTGTGCATCACCACAAAATAGCTCAATGATTGGAAAGGTGTCACAAAAGAAATGGTCAATATTGTTACCATCACAGAAAACTAAGTTAGATATGATTATCAGTGTGGTGGTACTTGCCAGAAAGCCACTAATCCATGAACAAACTATCAGTTTAAGGCATAATTTGCCACTCATCATGGTGACATAATGCAGTGGCATACATATAGCCAAGTATCGATCATAAGACATTGCAGATAGTAGGTAGCATTCCACAGCTCCCAAAGTACCAAAGAAATAATGTTGCACAAAACACGCATTGATTGAAATTGCATTACTGCCTGCAAGAAAACCAAATAGCATTCTTGGTAAGATATTGGAGCTGCAGGAAGCTTCTAAGAAGGAGAGGTTTCCAAGGAAAAAATACATGGGGATGTGAAGGTGTTGATCAGTGAGAACCAGCAGCATGATGAGGATATTTCCAGACATTGTGACAATGTAGATGAGAAGGAATAACAGGAAAAGTGGAATCTGCAGCACTTTATGATCTCCAAATCCAAGCAGAATGAATTCAGTTACATAAGTTTCATTTTTCAGTTCTGTGTTTTCTAGTAATTGTACCTGCAAAAATCAAATGTAGGGCCAATCAGTGTGTCTGGGATTCCAAAACATGTGGAAATAGAAGACATAAGGTGAGATATACAAAATCAGACATATCATTCAGGTTTTTGCTTTTTGATGCACAGTATTAGTTATCTATGGAAACTCTGCTGGGAATCTTGAAGAGCCCTATTTTTAATGAAATAAACATCTGGATACTCTACAGAATGAGGATGCTTTCCTTCTCAGAGAATGCACATTTGAATGTGCTTGCAGAAGGGCAGTCTATTCCTTAGACAAGTGATTATGCTTTAACAGTTCTGGACACATATTCATCAGCTTTTCAGTGCAATCCTATTGATACCTACTAAGAAATAAGGCAGTGCTGAGTCCAAATGACATTGCTCTCAAGTGAGTACAATATTGCAATTTAAGGCAATGATGTACAGATGTAGAAGTAAGCCCAAATGAATGCAGTGGGACCTAGCTGTAAGAAATCATAGTTAGGGTTTCTTTTAAAAATCCTTTCATTATCTAAAGAGTATTTAGTGGCTATAGAATTGCTTTCCTACCTGTTTATGCAGGCGTTGCCTTACATTTTCTCCCTTTACTGTATTTTGTAAAGCTTTACATGTCTGTTCTGTATGTTTTCCCCTGTTTGATTTTTTCCTTTTTTTTCCTCCTTTTTGGGCAATGCTGTACTATTTTATTCTGTTTTATTGCTTTGGTAAAGTGGGAAAGAAGTGTCTTAAATAAATAATGACAGCATTTAATAAGAAAAGTGTAAAAGTCTACATACCTTCAATGGAGTAATCATAATTAATGTATAGATATAAAGGTTTGGCTTTACAGTTCAGCAAACTTCATTCATATCATTTATTTCATAATTTTTCTTTTTCTTGCCCAACTTAACATTCATTCATGGTGATATCCTTCTAGTCTTGGACAGAAAACATTCCAGTTAGGGAAATTTGAAAGTGGGATAAGTTCATAATAAGGAGATAATTTCCACTTTCATGTACCTTTCTCTAAAGCAACTTCATGCAGATTCATAAGTTTAAAGAGATGTCTATACTCAGGTTCTGTAAGGTATGATTTAAATTAAAGCATGTCCATGTGAACAGTATGATGATGTTGATGATGATGACAATGAGTAACCTTAACAATGTTTTAGGTATGAGCTGTCCTTTATAAAGACATAGGGTTTCCTTTGTTATAGAGCTTAATACACTGCTTTCTCTTCCCATGGCTCTTTGTACATTCTGTACTCAGGGGGAATTTACTGGAAGGAAAAAAGAAAATATATGGGCAATAAATACAATTAGTGCAAGGAGAACAAGTGTCTTTTAAACTGGTTTTTGTTGTCAGAACCTGTAAGTTCTGAATAGAACTGTAAGTACTCTGAGTATTTTACATGAAATGAAAAAATGCATAGCTCACATCCATTGCATCATCAAAGAAATAGCATAATTTACACCAAGACACACTCTACCAACATTTGCTATCTCCTGCTACAATTCCCACAAAGGGATTCTTTTTTTGTAGGATGTAATCAACAATATTAGTTGGATTAGCTGGCTGGAACTAGGGCAATTTAAATCTAAGTAATATCATTTAGGTTGCAACTCTATGTGCACATGCCTGAAAATAAGCCCCATTGACAGCAATGAGGGATACTGCTTGATAGACTCATACAGAATTGTGCTAATAATACATTAAAAGTTAAATCTTGTGGAAATTTAGGTAGAAAGGAGACCTACCACTCCCAGCATGCTTCCATCAGCTATGCCAGTTTGGTCTTATAGGAGTTGTAGGCCTTCTTCCCCCAACTGTCCAAATGAGCATATATTATGTTTTCCTAGACACGAATTGCCACTTGCATCCAAACCTTCTCCATGCCCCTTTGAGCTCATTCCCTTTCCCAGTTGGAGGTGAAGTGCCTAATAATTGAGGAAAAGGTCCTTCTGGGAGAAAAGCCAGCTTTAAATATATTGGGTTGTATTCTGATGTAGTGATGTTTGGAATAGCTCCACTCACAGCTGTAATATTTAGGTTACTCATGATTTGTCTGTTCTTTACAATGAGACTACTCTAAGCATGTACAAGGCTGAAAACCAATGTAAATCCCCTTGAAACAAATGGGACCAGTTTCTGGCTGGTGCCAACCTGTCTTCATTATTGTTATTGCTCCTTTCTAATGCTACCTGCTTACTTTTAGGTGCCAGAGTAAAGCAATGTCTTTCATCTAAGCTTTTAAAACAGTGCAGATGATTAAACTTTACTGCAGAAACTATGCTGTTTATATTATGGATTTTAATTGCCTTGGTTTTCTGCTGGTTTCTCCTGGTGTTATACTGTTTGTCATATTGTCTTGCTGCTTTGTAAATCTGTATTATCATTATTTGTTTCCTCTTGAAAATTCTTGGTTACTTCTTTTCTTAATGGAAAGAGAAGATTAAAATGCCTCAAACAAACAAGCAAACAAATAAATAAGTGCATTTATTAAATCTCCATATTGTCCTATCTGCAGTTTGAAACAGAAATGCCGTTTCTTCACAGCTGTCTCTTTGAATTGCCAAGAATCACAGCAAAATGACCAGGTGAGTGAGTTCAAAACTGACTATGGCCCTATTGCCTAAGGACTTGCCACACGAGATCAGTGGGTGTGCATTGAACAGATGGGTAGATGAAGTTCCTCTGCATTGAAAAAAAATGTCCTCGTGATGAGCGATTGGGATAACCAAAGCTGCTGACTCCATATGCTCTTTCATCAAAGAACAGTCATCTCAAAGGAAAACCTGAAGCCTCCTGACCCCATATAAACCACAAAATGAACCACATACCCAATGGGTTTCAGGCATGTTATTTTATGCTCCCATTACACTTCAGTGCTACTTGCAAGTAAGGACTGAAGGAAGTGGCAGAGAGGAATGCATCATCAGTTGGCAGTTGTAGAAGTTAGGAAGCACATGATCCTGAGTGAGGTCCACTTTTAAAGGCCCCTTAGAATAAGAAACAGAATACAATCTGACATTCACTTCATTTGGAGTAAGTCTCATTGGACACTATGGGATTTTTTTCTGAGAAGAAATACACACAGTTGTATTGCATGGCTGCAAGACTCCATTCCTATCAAGTTCAGATTGGAAAGGGAGGGGCAGTTTCCCCAACAAGACTTCTATTTCATTTTGATTTAATTTGGTTGTTTTTACAGCTGCAGTGTATGTAAATTACCTCCCCCTCTGCATCTGGGCTGATCCATATGCCTAGGAGATCCAGGGCATGGTTTTGAATAAACAAATTTCATTGATATTCTCCTCTCTAGCCAAGATTCTCACTTGTTCCAGAAGAAACACTCCTCCATGCACAGGCTTCTCTACATTCTGCATTAGTTCATTTATTGAGCACTAACAGTCCCTCATGCACCAACATTTTTGGTTCCTTGTTGCAACATTCTTATCCCGCAAGACATCTTACAATATGCATAATTTTCCAATGCCATAAACTCAGAATACAAGACAGATTTGGGTTAAATAATTTGTAATAGGTCTTACCCAGGGCTAGTTCTAAGGGCTTTTGTTTGTTTGTATTTGGCAGGGAAGTGGGCTTTGCAAATTGTATTTGGTGAACCACCTCCTAAGCCACTTCCTAATGGTAAGCAGAAATACTCCAATGAGTCACATTTATCTTCGCAATTTCAGTTTCCCCACAATGCCTCAGAGTAAAACTACATCAAGGATATCACAGGAAATCAACTCAGGTGAGGTTTCACAATGACATATCTTAACACTATGTTAAGAGCATTGATGGAAACTGAAATGGCGGTGGGCTCCCAAAACCAGCTTCCAGACACTGAGTGATGTGTAATCAAAGAAATTTATGCCCAGGACAAGAATCTGTGGTGTGCCTTATTGGGGAACTAAGGCCATAACAGTGTCTTGAGGATAATGTGTGCTGGTACTTCATCTGCAGAGTATGTATCCATGGTGAATTGAAATGAGCCTAGAACCCAGGGTCCTTTGTGGCCGGCATATTAGGCCTCTGGCCAGATTACAAGCCTTGGATGAACTGGACATGCTGTGACTTCTAGTGACTTCTCCCTCCCACACATCCTGCTTGCCTCAAGGAGACAAGCAACTGCTTCCTCTCATCCATTCTCCCTTGATCCAGCCCTGTACAACCTTCTAGACCACTCCTCTGCAACCCCAACTTTGTTTTACCTTTAAAGGGATAAAAGCAAACCAGTATGAATATTGAACTTCACAACACATTGATTTCAAATGTTGCTTTACATGTGAACATCTATCCATGCAAATTACTTTACTTTGCAGTTACCTAGAAGTTGAAATTAACCTTCCAGAAGCAATTGATTAGAAAGTCTATCATATTTTGAAAGGAGTTAAAGAAATCAGAACATGGACCTGTTGCTGTATCTGATTTTCTTCTGAGTTTTAACTAAGAGTAAAGAGGTGAGTCTTCTCAAGGCATCCTTTACCTCTTTATTTCTCAGACTGTATATGATGGGGTTGACCATGGGGGTCAGGATGGTATAGAAAATGGAGAAAACTTTGTGAAGGCCATTCAGTCTATTGTTACCTGGTATTACATATATGCTAATCAGTGTGCCATAAAAAAACGTAACTACCAAGAGATGGGAGGAACAAGTGGAAAATGCCTTTTGTTTCCCTGTGGTGGACGGAATTCTCATTATGGCTGCAATGATGAAAATGTATGATGTTAAGGTCAATGTAAATGGAGGGAATGTGATTACAGAGGATAAAACATATAGAAACAGTTTTAATATATGGGTGTCACTGCAAGAGAGTTCTATGAGAGGGAAGGTGTCACAAAAATAATGGTCAATTTCATTGCTGGCACAGAAAACTAGCTGGGATATTAAAATCAAGGTTATGCTACTTAAAAGAACAGAACTAATCCAAGAGGTGACTATCAGCTGGAGACATAACTTGCTACTCATCACGGTGGCATAATGTAGTGGCTTACCTATAGCTAAATATCGGTCATAAGACATTACAGATAAGAGGTAGCATTCCACAGATCCCAAGGAACCAAAAACATATTCTTGCATAAAGCATGCATTGACAGAAATTGTCTTCCTTCCAGTAAGAAAACTGTAGAGCATTCTTGGCAAGATATTTGAGCTGCAGCAGATCTCTAAGTAGGAGAGGTTCCCAAGGAAAAAGTACATGGGGGTATGAAGGTGTGAGTCAATGGTAACAAGCAGGATAAGAATGATGTTCCCAGCCATTGTCACAATGTAGATGAGAAGAAACAGGGTGAAAAGAGGAATCTGCAATAGCTGATGCTCTTCAAATCCCAGCAGAATGAATTCAGTTATGTTTGACTGATTCTTCAATTTGGTATTGTAAATTAGCTGCACCTGCAAAAACACAGCAATGGCAAATCACAGTTGCTTTTTTGTCTTGGAAACTGAAGCCTTGCTGGATAGGGCAGAGATATATGCAAACTCTGAGCTATTAGTTGAACGAGGTTTCCACCCTTTTGCCCAGTGGTCTCATAGATCAACAGAACTGCTACATAGCATCTTGTCTACCTTTGCTTTATGGACTTGCATGTAGACCAGACATTGTCATGAATGACATCCCTTGTGTCCAGTTTTGTGTGCATCTGTGTGTATTTCTAGATGACAGTGCAGATCAAAGATCCATACAGCTTAGTTTGAGTGCATACTTTGCACGTTTTTCTTTTCAGTAATTATATTTTTTACTAATTTCTGATAGGATAGGATTCCTACACGGGCCATGATAATAGATCAGTTTATCTTCAACATGGATGCTACTTCTTCCAACATCAACTCAAATGCAGTTTCATCACCAGGAACCATCGGATCATGCTGCTTTGGTTTTTGTCTAAAATGGAGTCATGTAGCGGTAGAACACTGCAACATCTGGATCTGTTTTATTCTGATTATCTAGTGCAGCATTGTCTTTATTAACTGCTAGTGGTCCTCCAGGGTTTGTGATGAGTGTCTTTCCCAGCCCTACCTGAAGAAATATATGATTAAACCTGGGACCTTCTGCATGTCAAACATCTGTACAACTGTAAAACTTCCAAATCACAGGGCAGCAAAATATCCCTCACAATGAGTGGAATCATCTGGAACTTGAATCTTGGATTTAATTTGCCTTGTTGCAATGCCATCTGTGGCTGGTCTGAAAGCTGAAGCTCATGCAGAATGTGGCAGCTTGGTTGTTGCTAGGTGCTGCCCCTTTTCAGCAGGAAACCTCCTTCTTGAAAGACCTGCACTGGCCACCTAGTGGCTACCTGGGCAAATTCCAGATTTCAATACTAAGGTATACAGCTTTTAACAACTTTACCTATGGCCTGCCAGAAGCCCCCTTGTGAAGAACCTTTACAGCTCCATTTCTTTGAAACTCCCTGCATCCAGAGGTGAGAAAGGTGCCAACACCTACTTTTCAGCACCTCCTCTAAATGTCAATTTATATAGATATATATTTCAGGAAGCTTTCTTGATCTAACCAAACATGGTTTGGGTGATTTGCCTTTAACATATTCTTGTATTAACCTATTTGTCTGGTGTTTTATTGTCCCACTACTCTAGAATTCCCATGCTAGAATATGGAGCAATATATAGATGTTGTAAAATAAATAACAAATAAATGCATGGATTAGATCCGCACTCAATGAGCCACTGGATGTCACTTTTTTCAAAAATTGTTCCTTTGCAAGAAATATTCTTGTGTGTGACCTATATTACCCTACATTCTTTCATTTGGGTTAAAAATTAATGCTAATCAACAGTAAAATATCGGCTTTATTTATAATAAGGCTATGAGGAGCTGAGGAAAGCTGAAGACATGATGGGCTTGTGTTTAATACCATGCCAAACATCTTACAGTCCCAGCTGGTTGATCTGCTTCAGAAACAGCATTATTCTCTCAACCTTTATCTGGAGTTGGTGGGGAATTATTATATTATGTGTTATGGGAAGCTTGCTATTTTTGTATTAGGCAAACATACAGGAACAAAGTACATGTGATGGAACAAATTCACACATACCTGACCATAAATGTTCATGGAAACTTAGAATAAAATCTCAAATGTTGAGATGACTGGAGATATTCTTAAATTGGAGAGGAACTGAACATAGGATTGGAAAGACAGGTAACTGAGATAAATGAGAGATTCACACATTCCTAGCTTGATGGTTGCTGTGGGTAGTGAGGGTGTGGGAAATCTGGGTCCACTAGCCCAGTCTGAATCTGAGTCCATTCAAGCCACTCAGGACAGTGAGGTGTTATTAATTATATTCATATAAAGACTAAAAATGGGAGGAAAGAAAGATGCAATTGCTTGGGAACAACCCTCATGGAACTACATGGGTTATATATCTAAACAGAAATGCATACATGAGGACTATGTTTCAGATAAATCTAATTGTGTAATGTCATACTTGTCTATTCAGAATTAATCCTCACTAATGTTAGTGAAGATATTGATGAATGCATCCTTAGTCACATAATATATAAAAGGATGGCTATTTGGGGCATATCTTGGCTGCTCTCATGGTGCTTTGGCCCTGGAGTTTTTCTTTTTCTTCTGTCTCTTTCCTTCCCTCTCCCTCTTAATTCAGCCACTTCCAGCATTGCAGTTCTATGTTATTCAAATGGTTCCTCAATGGAGCAAGTGGTCCCTGTCACCCTTCCAGCTTGCTGCTTTTACGATTTCAGTACATTTCCACACTATCTTGAATGCTAGAAAAAGACTATTGCCTTCAGTAAAGACACACTTGTAAAGCTGTTCCTGAAATACATCATCAGCATACAGAATTAATCCTAGGCAGACCTGAAAAAGACACCATGAAATAAGAAAAGAATAAAAGACCACATACCTTGAATGGGCTAGTCATTACTAATTTCAGATGTACCTTTCAGCAACCAGGATATAATTTCTTTAGGTTTTTATCAGTTACAAGTGTGTTCTGTGACACTACTGTTCTCATGGAAACTGTTTGATATTCTAGGTGCACAACTGTCTCATTAGTTAACCTAAAGGACAGATCAGCTAAATCTCTTGGTCATGGAAATTTAAAACCTGATGAAGCCCTTGTCAACTAGTCAATTTTATCATGTCAGCTACAGGTGGATATCATATTTTTCTTTTCAGCATCTTCTTTCTCTAAAGCAGAGGGAGATAATGTCATCAGGACTTAAGATTCAAAGAGATGTTTCAGGACAGGTTTTCTAATATATGGATTGAATGATATCATGAACACCTTTGTTATATAATTGCTGAAGAAAAAACACACTGGTAGCCTACTAGTTCCTACTTTCTTGGATATGAGCTGCCTTTTATAGAAGAAGGAAAGTTTCCTTTGACATTTTGGTTAATAAAACTCCCACTATTTGCACTCTCTGCACTCAAGGGAAATGCAGAGGAAGGGAGAAATTGATAGCATCTAAGGGCTATAATGGATCTGAAGGGAAAACCCCTTTTTAAAATTGTTCTTATTGTTATAAAGCCATATGGGATTTTTCCTCCTCCTCCTCCTCCTCCAGCTGCTGCTAATATACATGCCCCTTTTGCATATACATTCACAATATACATGCAAAGATACCGTTTCTTCTCAGGTTGAACTACATATTATTCACACCTTTGCTGCCTTCACTGATTCTGCCATCCTCAATGGCCCTCCAGCAGGATATGGAAATGGTCAGAAAAGGTGTTCAACAGATGTGGCAAATGAGAAAAGCACAGACTGTAACTGGATTGTGTTTTCTAATGCTGCCATTAATGCTTTAACCATTACTTTGGTGATAGGGAATGAAAGAAATGCACAAAGGCATCGGCAGATGTATCTGAAGTTTGTTCATAGGCACATAATCCTAAATGAGGACCCCTTTGCAAAGGTACCATATTGGGAGGGGCTAAAGCCTTATAAAGAGAGGCTAAAGCCTTATAAAAAGACCCCAGAGAGGTCCGCCTGGCACCATTGTTATTTGTTTTTTGGTGCCAGGTTAAGACCTTTTTATTCCAGCGGTATTTTAATAAGTTTTAATATTGTCTTTTCTATGTTTTTAATTGCAGCCAATGTGGGTCGGGAATTTATTCATGTTATTTATGTTGCTTGTGTTATGTTTTATATTGTAAGCCATCCTGAGGCTTTTTTGCGAATAGGATGGCATATAAATATTTTGAATGAATAAATACATAAATAAATAAATATTTTTTTAAAAAAATTATCACTGAATATTTCAGACCTGACTAAATTATAGCCTTCCTCCATAATAATAACAAGAATAATAATATCCCCATGAGGATAGCATTTTTTTTTTCATAAATCTAGAAGTGTTGGATCTCAACATTTAGAATATTGGCCTCATCTACGGGAAGTCTACTTTGAGAAGATTCTGCCATATATAATCCTGAAGGGAATTAATTTGATTAAGACTCAAAACTAAAGAGAATTATCTCCATAATGGAATGAAGAGAATTATCTCCATAATGGTGTTAAAAAATTAGCTAAAGCAATACTAAAGGTTAAAAGAGACTAATCAGTGACCTCAGTTGTGCTGGTGAAGCCCATTGTAACCCATGCCAGTACTGGAGCACATCATGGATTCAAAAACAGAAGTGTAAAAATTGTATGCCCAAGTACTGCATGTGCAAAATCCAGATTGGGTGTGTATGCATATATCTTGTAACAGATACCATGCATAGGGATGTAAGCCTATTGTATTTCAGTTCATTTTTTAATCATGGTTAGCCCAATTTGCTCACTTTGGACCACATACAGGAGGTGATGTGGACTGTGGCTGAAGTTTGTATATTTCAAAGACTGCAAAGTGGATCCTGAACCATCTTGTGTACATTCGAAATATGCATTCAAGATTGTACTTTTGAAAAATGCACACAAATGCACTTTAATCAATTGGAGCAGATTCATTCCATTTTGAAGCAGCATAGAATTTGGAAAAAATATTGACCAAAAAGCCACATGGATTTTCATGAGAAAAGGGAAAAAATCTCTCAATGTGATTGAGAGAACAAGCTTTAAGATGGAAATCGGGAATGTTGGCAAGCATGGGCTTTGCAGACCCACACATCACTAACTTTAGGTTTCTTCAGGGGGTCCTTTCTCCTCTCCTTTCACCTGGCATCCTTAGAAAGCCATCCCCAACTCAACATCTTCCAAATGTTTTAGTGCACATTTCCCCTTGCACTCAGCCAGCTTAACCACTGGGCATGGTTGTGTTGGGAAATATAATCCAAAAGATCTAGGAGATGCCTGGTTAGGGAAGGCAGATTTCCCCCATACTAGGATAGGTTTGGGCTTGCCTCAGATTTACCATACAAGTATGAATGTGTGCCTGTACGTTTTACATTTATAAATTCCACCCTGAAGCTATCTTGTACCAAAGATTATGTACACGGTTTTTAAACAAGGGTGACATCATGAAAGCACGCAAAACAGGAGGAGAAAAATAGTGTGCAAAAAGTTTGAGAGTGACATTACAGTTAAATATGAAGAGGAAGGATGGATGGATCTGTCAATCACAGATGCATTGAAATTGTCAGGTTTCCATGTCAAGCTTGTTGATCCCATTTCTCCCATGTACTTTCCAATTAAAAATAAAATAAAAGCAGTATACAGAAACTGCCGTGCATTGTTTGTAACATATGTATTAATGGACAGCTTTTGCATGGACTTACACATGTGAAGTGTGGGGATGATGAGCTGAGACACAAATTATGCTATAAATTTGAGCCAGATTTGTTAACTCAAGATATGTACTAATGGAGGTATCTGCCTATTCCAGCACCATGAGTGTAGATGCCAAAGAATGAGCCATCCATCTTATAGATGAAGTGTCTGTAATGTCGCCATCCCTTAGTTTACACAATGCTGCATTTATAAGGACTTCTTCTGTCACCTCCTCCATTAGGTACAAAACTCCAAGTGTTGAGTAGAACTTGAAGGCAATTTATACCCCCCATTTTCCTGTATATAATGACTTTCTGTACTGTACCCTACCACGGATTTACATATTTTTGTGCATGCCTTCTCCTAATACACTGTGCTTTTTGTTCAGTTTTGCTTTGCATTCAGAGAACTGCTTTGCAAAACTGAAGCATGCCAAGGGATAACCACATTCTGGTTCACCTATAGATTTGGGAAGATCTTGACAAATTGTCAAGAGAACACAATTCTCTCCCCAAGTTCTGCCAACTTTTCTTCATCTGCACTTTTGCTCTTTGTTTCCTGAAGCACGCTCTCCTTACACATCTAATGGATTGGGCAGTAAGAGAGCAAAGGAAAAACCTTAAAATATGTGAAATGCCTTCCATCTGGCATTCTCTCTGTGTTTTGAGTCCCAGGGAAAACCTATGTTAGCTTACCAACTTACTCAGAGGGCTCAACCAGTGCATTTGTGTTGATGCTGCCCTGCACCAGAGACACACACATGCACATGCACGCACGCACACACACTTTCTTCTCATTCACAGAATGCAATAAAAGTTCTTGCTCCAGTCTTTGGCAAAGAGATGAGAAATGGAATGTCTATTCATTATAGCAGCGTCTTGTAGAGGACATCCTATGGCATATTCTAGCATCTATAATCTAGTTGATAAAAGCTGTGGAATGGAATATACAAATATATCATGCAAGGAAAAGAGGGTGATGGGACAGGGGATCTCTTGAAAGGCAGCTCAGAATGTTGTAGAAATTGTGGGATCATCTCTGCTCCATGAGAAAACTGTATCACAGTCTGGTACAGATTCTTGCATCAGGAATACATGCACCTGATTTTTTGACATTACTTATCCCATGTTCTATTAAAAACGAGACTGATAATTCTCCTCAGGGCCTGTTTCAGCTCTGCATTTCTCAGGCTGTATATAATAGGGTTCAGAAGTGGTGGCAGGAATGTGTACACAACAGAGAATGCTTTATTTAGTTTTCTCAGTTCTTTGGTGCTTGGTAGGATATACACAACCATAGCAGTGCCATAAAACACTGTAACAACAGAAAGATGAGAGGAACATGTAGAAAATGCCTTCTCCTTGCCTGTAGTAGATGGTATTCTAAGGATAGCCTGAATAATGAATATGTAAGAAGCAAGAATTAAGATGAACGGAGGAAATGTGAATAAGGAAGCTGCTGCATACATAATTGTTCTCATGATCTGTATGTCACTGCAAGACAGGTTTATGATTGGAAAGCTATCACACAAGAAATGGTCAATTTCCTTGGGACCGCAAAAATTTAACCTAGACATAAGCGAAGTTGCTAGGGCACTAACCAAGAAACCATTTATCCAACATGTAATTATCATCTGCATGCATAGTCTGTCATTCATAGTTGTTCCATGATGTAAGGGTCTACATATTGCTAAATACTGGTCATAGGACATCACAGATAGCAGATAACTTTCAACTGCTACCAGAGCTGCAAAGAAATAATGTTGCACAAAGCAACTTTGGATGGATATGGTTTTATCATGAGAAAAGATGCTAGCTAGAAACCTCGGCAATAAAACTGAGCTGTAACAAGTCTCCAGGAAGGACAAGTTTCCCAGGAAGAAATACATTGGGGTGTGAAGATGTCTGTCAGCTACTACTAATAGAACAATGAGAATGTTCCCTGCCATGGTCATAAGATAAATAAGCAAAAACAGAAGGAATAAAAAAATCTTCCAATTCTTTTAGATCTCCAAATCCGAGCAGGACAAATTCATTAATGCTGGTTGTATTTTGTGATTTCATAACTTCATTGCATGGACCATGGGTAATTCCTTGTGGAATCTAGAAATAAAAGAGAATAAAATAGACTGCATTATCTCAGATGGATATTCATCGTTGAAAATGCCTGACATCAGATTTATACTAATATTTTTATTAGCATTGTTGTTGCAGTTACTGATGCTGCTGCTATCGCCATTACTGTGTCTGTACTCTCATTTCTTAGCAATTAACAGAGCAGGAAGCTACAGTGTTGCCTGCTGCCATGTCCCCTTTTTGATACTAGGCAAAGGGTTCTGTATAAAAGGAAAATGTAAAATCTTCACAAACCTGCAAGTTTAATCTATTTCACAATGTGAAACCAGACTTGCATTCTCATGGATCTATATTTTATTACCTCATGAGTTAACTGAGCCTTGTATGAAAAGGCATAAGACTACAGCTATTTTACTATAACATTGATATGTTTACTTAAAAGGGATTCCACAATCACCCCCCTGCAAAACTTTCAAGTGTGAACTTGAAATTAAGTGTCCACACTGTACTACCAGGACATATTTTGAAAGTTCTGTAATTGTCGTTACAACATAAGGAATCATCTCTCTAGTTTCCATACTGTATGTTATTCAGCATTTGGTTCATTTCTGTGAAATAAAGTATGATTTTTGATCTCTCAGAAATAAGCAATTTCTACATCCCCTGATTTTCAGATGTTTATAAACTGAACCTTATCCTAAGATTCTTATTTTAATTCTGAGCACCAGATTTGTCTTCCAGTTGGATGAATTCTAGAAGTCAGCACAGATCACGTCTAGCACCACTACTTACCATACATCAATTTATGTGATATTGTGGTTGCCTATTACTTTTCACAAAACTAACAACACTTGCCCATCTTAATACAGCTTTAAATCTTCATAGAGTCCTATGCATAGAGGCATGCTGGAGAAAATTTTCTCAGGCATGCTGGAGAAAATTAATGCCCTCTTATTCTTACTCTGCCACTGGAGTAATGGTGAGTGCAGTGACACACTGAAAAGCAAATATGTTGCAATCAGGCATCCTGTTCCATGTTCTGTAAATGTACTCACCTCTCCCTTGGCACAGTTGCTTAAAAAATCCTTTTAATTTTTTTTTAAAAATCAAATTGACCCAAATCTCAGTGGTAAGCATTAATTGCACAGAAGGTGGAAACTGTGCAAGGTAATAACTGAATATCTAATGCATGACTGGTCCTACCTTATACTCCAATCAACTTGTTTCTGTACTTTTGATTTTCCTGGGAGTAGTGGTTATCTGGATGGTGTTGCTTTTGTATTGAGAATCAGGATCCACAAAGACAATGTGAAATACAAAAGAATGCTTTGTCCTAACATATTTGTTCATTGACATTTAGGCTCACAATCTTCTGAATAATATGTTGTCCAGCCCCACCAAAAGAAAGCCAAATCAACATCTTGGGCAAACTACCAGAGAAGTTCTATACGAAGACCTTTTCAATAAGATGAACCACACATATGAGGGGGATTTCAGGTCTTTCTGAAATGATTTGATTAAACATGTGAGCAGAGAGAATCCAGCTGAGCTGCATCCCCTCACCTCTTGATGTCACAGATGCAACTCCACCCCATGGGGCAACGTGCATATAGAATTAAAGTCTGCAGGAAGAGGACCTGTGTGAAGATACCTGGAGGTCACTGCATGAAAACCTTCAGGGGATAGCTGTGTACAGTTCAGGCCTGCTTTGTACTCATATGCTTAATGAACCCTTCACAGGAATACTGTAGTGGAAATGTGGAAGACACATGTTATTTCAGGGTGTTTACTGGTGTACAAGCAAGCAGTTCCTTCTCATGTCCAGACTTGCAGCTGAGCCTATTGCTTTAATGGCTGGTGATGCTTCTTCTTCTCATTGATTCCCAGAGTCAATTATCCATTTGAAACTCAGCAACTGGAAAGACCAGTTGATACACCTTAGGAAATGTCTCAAGGTTAGTCACTGGAGCTGAGGAAGAGTAATATATGCTGGCTTGCTGCCAAACATCCTCACAGTCACTGGAGCTGAGCCAGGACAGGATGGTATCCATGCAAAGATGATATTCATACACATCTATACATGCACACGCACACACACAAATCCCTGAGACATTTTCAGGGTGGGATTTCAATGGAAATTGATCCAGAAAGGTACTGTTTTCTAGAGGCTAGGACTGGAGTCATGTCTGTTGCCATACTTTGATGGGATCCCTGGCAACTGTAGGAATGCAAACTTAAGATTTTGCTTTGTGATGTTTTGCACTTTCTGCTTTTTTAATCCTCTTATGTTTAGTAAAATGTTCACCCTAGCATTTATATTGTTTCTGACTTCTAAAAAGAACCACTCCCTCTTGGCAACATAGAATACCTGATTAAGGCTGTTCTGAATTTACCATTTCATTTCAGCAAATCATCTAAAGTATTTTTAAAATTATGTTCCTGACTTTGCAATCACATTTAGGGGGAAAAAGGTTTTTTTTAATGCACTTTCTAAAATGCAATGCATGCACACTTTTTTACACTTTAGGAAATGGGGAAATGTGCACTTTTGGGGAAAAAATACACACATACAGAAAAACATAGCTTTCTCATTTGAAATCAATACTTTTCAAATGGACTGAAAAGCAAGTCACAAATGACAATGGAAAAAAAGCTGAACTGAAGTTCAAACTGAAATTTGTTTTATTTATTTATTTATTTATTGGTGATCTCAAACATGCCTAGAGAAAAGCACAGATCAGAAACTGTTTCTCTGAATGATGCAGTTCAGTTCATGGTAGTTTAAGCACACCACAGTGTATATGTAAAATGAATATTTTCAGAGAATTATACACAGAAATATGCATTTTGAGAGAAAGCACATGTGTACATACATATTTAAACATGTATGTGATGACTGACTATGAGAGGGACTTTTTGTTGCAGATTAATATAGGCCATAAACAGACAACTTTGTCTATCCTTATTGAGAGCCAATGATTGTCCCCAAATGTCTTCATTTGAACTTGGATCTGAACTTGGATTTCACAGTCTGAAGAGCAATATTCTAATCATTAAACCACCACAGATGACCAACTGCTCTACCTTCTCTAAGAGCAACACTTTGATGCAGCTTTGTCCAACTTCATGCCTTCCAGATGTCTTGTGCGAAAGTTGCCACCATTCACACGTATTGGCATGCTGACTGGGGTTGGTGGTATGTGAAGTCAAAACATCTGAGGTCCATCATGTTCCAAGGGCTGCTCTAATAGTAATGTCACTTCAGTGTAGTAGACCAACAGATATATTTATGCTATAACTAATATAATTCTAGTGTACATATGAGTGCCTGAGATAAGATATTTGTGCAACATTGAGGTTTCCAATTCTATGCTTTAATTTTATGTGGGGACAGGTAGGCAAATATTTGTTCTCAACAGTTTCATTAAGTCTTTTCCCATCAATTTCATGATCTCCTTGTCTGCAGAAACCTACTTTTATGATCCATTACCTGAGTTCTGACCCATGCGACAACTACAGATCTCTGAAGAGACTCTCTCACATCTCTGTTTCTCAGGCTATATATGAGAGGGTTGACCAGAGGTGTTAGGATGGTATAAAAGCCCGAAAAAACTTTGTTCAGGTCTCCCAGGGTGCTGGAGTGTGGTAACGAGTATGCTGTGGCTATTGTGCCATAGAAAATAGTTACCACAATGAGGTGTGATGAACAAGTAGAAAAGGCCTTTTTCCTTCCAGTAACAGATGGGATTTTAAGGACTGCTGTGATTATGTGGATATATGACATTAAAGTTAGTGTAAAAGGAGGAAGGGTGAATATAGATACAAAAATTAAAATCAGTATCCTTAAAAGAACTGTGTTGCTGCAGGACAGCTGTAGAACTGGAAAGGTATCACAAAAGAAATGGTCGATCACATTGGGGCCACAGAAGACTAACTGTGACATTAAAATAATTGTTGTTGTACTAGCAAGAAATCCTGTTAACCAAGATCCAGCTGCCATTTGCAGACATAACTTGCTATTCATAAGTGTTACATAATGAAGAGGTTTGCATATAGCCAAATATCGATCATAGGACATTACAGAAAGAAGATAACATTCCACAGCTGCTAGACATGCGAAGAAATAATGTTGCACAAAACAACCATCCACTGAAATGGTTCTGTCTCCAGTCAGTAAACTACTCAGAATTCTGGGTAAAATAGCTGAACTGTAGAAGGTCTCCAAGCACGATAAATTCCACAGAAAGAAATACATGGGTGTATGAAGGTGTCGATCAGCCACAACCAGTACAACAATGAGAACATTTCCAGTCATGGTTGATATGTAGATCACAAGAAAGATCAGCAGAACAGCAGTCTTCATGTCCTGAAGATGCCTAAATCCCAACAGGATGAATTCTGTGACGAGTGTTTGATTTTTAGTTTCTGGAATTTCAATAGCCTGCATCTGCAACAAATAGCACCATAGAACGCTTTAGGTACTACTGATATGTTTATCCAATCTTCATCTTCAGGGTCAAAGTACACATTGCATTAATTATGTTACATGGAACTGGCCTCCTCTCTGTTTCTTATTCTAGGGTAAGTATGTGCAGTCCAGATCCATGTAAGAACTTGTCATGCATGCGGATGAGATATATAAACATTTTTCCCTTCAGACATCTGAAAGGATTTTGTTTCCTTTCTAACCCATGTGCAGGGGTGGGGGTGGAATCTGAGCAGCTGAGAGAGAAAGGGTCCTAATCCAGATAGAGGGCATACATACTTGCACCTTTAAAAGAAATGTAGTGAATATATAAGGTATAATTTTATTTTTAGTGTTCAGCTTCGGAATTTCAGTCTGAGTTCATTCTGAGAACTCTGGAAGACATAAAGAAGATTATGTTCCCTCATTTCTCCTTCACATGCTTGCATCTCACCCACCAGAAGGGTATATGCATGTAGTTATCTTCTCTGGCATAGTTTTGGGGCCAGTGTTTTTGAATAAAGGAAATGAAAATATTTTTTACTTTCATTTAGTGGGAACTCTCAAATAAGTTAAGAACATAAGCCATGCTGGATCAGATCAAAGGTCCATCTTGTCCAATGCTCTGTACACATGGTAGTGAACCAACTGCCCACAGGATCCCTTGAGTAGGATGCATCCAAGACCTCTGACTGCCCAAGCTGCTCAGTGTCTACAGACATGCTTAGCTCCACAATTTCTCAATAGGTTTTACAACATTCATATTTAAAATCAATGGGGTAGTTATACTGATGATAAACCCATGGGAATCAATGGGATTTTAGTTAGACATAACTAATATAATTGTTGGGAATCTCAGAGTTATTGCTGTTTGTTTGTTTTACTAACTTTAGACCCAACCTCTTGCATGAAACTAAGTTAGTTCTTGAAGTGTTCTCACTTTCCTTTAGACCCATTTCTTCAATCAGAAATTTCTACATGCTCATATTAATGAAATGAAAGCAGCCTAAATACATAAAACCACCTTATGAGCCAAAGCTTCTTATTGTAACAAACCAACCAACAAACAAAGCAATCAGGTTGGTGCTTATTTAGCTATACTGGAATGGATCTATTGAAAACAATAGGACTCAAATTATTTATGCCTAATTTCATTCCCATTGTGTTTAAATAGTTCAGTTCGAAGTATGACATCTCTAAGTACACACAAAACAAAAACCCAAAGAAATTTCATGCACAGGATGGTCTACAATGTCATCAAAATGTGTTGTATTATTTCAGCATGGTTTGTTTGGGTTTTAGAAACTATGAATAGGAACAACAAACTATTCTATGGTTTCCATGAATCACAAGATCACCCAAACATGGCATCATGTTTTCTATGGTGCTGGTCTGCAGTTACTACTAAGCTCCTTGGTAAAAGCAGCAACTGTTCCAGGAGCTGCTTCAGCCATCCCTCATGAGATTGATTGTTGGGTAAGGGGTCTGATAGGATACATGCCAACAACGGGAGGCAGAACAAAAATAGTGCAAACCAAGCTAGCATAGAAATCACTATATATGTCTGTCCAGCACTCCCAGGTGAAAACTGTGCAATATGGAAACTGCACAGGTTTGCTTGTAATGACGTGTGAACCCAGCCTAAGTCTGGATATAGTGGTCCTGTCTGGCTGTATTATATCTACTGGTTTGGATTTTGATTGAGGTACATGCAACTGCAATGGCTTTTCTACCCCCCTCCCCCGGTTCCACTTCCTGCTCACTCCACACTGCAGACACTCCAGCTCCCTGGAAGGAATATACAGACATTGGTACACCCTGCTGAATGGACTGAGATGGGTCTGAGAATGAGAAAAAGAGAGAATTTTTGAAAAAAGAGCCATCTTTCATGATTGAGTAGCTTCTATCAACAGACTCTGGATTCCCCCCACCCCTGACTTAAATTTCCTGTCCCAATGTTCAGAATTCAAAGAACTGTGAAATTCCATGATGCACATTGGAAAACAGTTTTTAGCTCTGCCAACATTAAAAACAATTTGTTATATCATATGCAAATTAACTGTAGGAGTGGAATAGAAGCAATGCTTAGGACTAAAATAAAAGTCTTACATAAGCAAATATGGCTGTTTGAATCCTACCTCATTTAGGATGTTCATCTGCTGATTGCAATTTTTTTCCTACAAAAGAGAATCATGGATTCAACAATGCTGAAACAACTCCACCAGACAACCTGGCCCAAAAGTGAACTTTCTATTTAGTACATTTATGCTTTACTTACTGTATATATTTCTCTTCCATGTGGAAAGTACCAATAGCCCAGTTGCTACTTAAGGAATGCATAGATCCAATTGAATAAATGAACAAAATAATAAAAAGCAACCCCAAGGAACTAGTGCAAATATATTTTGTTCCTGAAAAAGAGAAATGAAATCACAACAGACATGAAAGAAATTATGTATCTAAAATAGCAACCCAATCTTTTTTTTATACCAATTCATGACATTGCAAGTGTTAAGGAAAATAGTATTTTCTACTGATGCATCAGCACTTTCTTGGGAATTTAAGACAGAGAGACTTGGGGAGGGGAGTGAAATCCTAAAGGGAATTTAGTGTTGCTGAAAGAATTTCTCATTTCCTAATGAATTACCCAAGAGAGGAGGATCTTTTGACTACAGAAAAATACATTCCTCAGATATTCACAGATGGCCATGCTTCCTCGTATTTTCACCCCCTTTTGAATATTCCCAGCATCTCTATAAAAAAGGTTGCATTTGAGTCAATACCTCTACTTTTTGAGATATACTGTAGCTTCATTTTGAGTGCTATTTTGCTCTTGGAAATCAATTGGAAATATTGTGAGGTTTCACTTACCAGCGGCACTTATTTTTTGTCTTTTGGCAAAAAAGATTTTGTCATCTTAGATAAGGAAGTAGGTATACTGTGTGTTGTGCCTGCAGGAGGATGGAATTTTAGGCATTTGCAGGTTTTGCAAGGGAGAAAAATGATTTTTCACCACCTTTCATCTTCTGGAATTCTATCTATCCTCTTATTATGGAAGGGAAGGGGAAATGGAGCCTGAGTGAAGCCCTCTGGTGGAGACCCTCAGTCTTTTCCCCCCTCTCTATAAGGTGACATTCTTTCTGTGAGTACATAGAAGGACTATGAGATTGTAAAGGGAAGTTCTGCCCTCCCTTCAGTTACCAATCAGCAGGTAACTGAGGCTTACATTCGTCTCTTTCTTCTGGAGAGAGATTGCTTTTGTTGCTGCTGCTTTAAAATCTATCTTTAAACCATGCATTCACCAGGATGCTAGTTCTCCCTACCCCTTTCTCCTTCTGTCTTAATTAAACTCTATTTCCTGTTTTATATATTGTTCACTGGTTTTTCTCACCTGCTCACAAAGCAGGGGTTCTGGTGGCCTGGCAAACTTGCATGCTAGTTTGGAATCAACATCTTTCTGTCACAGCACTGCC